AGAAGTATATACATATATATGTATAGTGTATATATATATATATATACAGTATATACATATATATGTATAGTGTATGTATGTGTATATATGTAGATATATGTATATATATAAATATAATGTATATGTATATATGTATATGTATGTATATGTGTGTATATATGTATATATATGTGTATGTGTGTATATATGTATATGTATGTATAATGTATATATATGTATATGTATGTATAATGTATATATGTGTATATATATATATATGTATATATATATGTAAATGTGTGTGTATATATATGTATAGGCCTAATATATGTATATATATATGTATACGGTATATATGTATATATATATATATGTATATGCATATATATGTATGTATATATATGTATATATATCTATGTATATATATATATGTATACTGTATATATGTATGTATATATATGTATATATATATATGTATGTATGTATATAGGCCTATATACTTCTGTTAAATTTATTGAACAAAAATTCTACCCTTCATCTTCTATCTTAATGGTTAAAATCTAACAAGTTAACTCTTAACATTTAAAAAACTAAATATATGCTACTTGGTTCTCCGCACAAACTAAAATCCGCTAATAACAATCTTAACCTTCATCTTGATAACCATCCAATTCTATCCGTTACGTCCCACAAACACTTAGGCATAATTATTGATACACTCTAACATGGAAGTCGCACACATCTTCCCTTTGTAAGAAACTTAACTCCATTGTCTATCTTCTTGCACGAACCTCAAAATTTACTAACGACTCTACCCTTCAAATACTTTACAATTCTTTGTTTCTCTCTCGCCTTGACTACTGCTGTTCAGTTTGGGGATCAAAATCTACCTCATTATCTAAAGTTCAGAAGATCCAGAAGAGAGGCATTAGTATCTTATAGAAACTTCCTCCTACCACTCACCTTACTCCTACTCATTTTAGATCTGCCAATACCCTTCCCCTCCAACTCCGATTTCAATTTCAACCCTGCTGTTTAACTTACAAAGCTCTTCATGACCTTGCTCCTCAAACTCTTTGTCAATGCCTTAAAAAGATTGTTGTCAATGGCCGTATTGACCACTACAAAAATCACTAAGGTGATCTTCTCTTTTCTAAGCCTAATCTAGAAATCTTTAAAACTTCATTCAGCTATAATGCTCCTTACATCTCCAACTCTCTTCCACCGATTGTCCGTTCTACTTTCTCCTTCTCTTCTTTCAAATCCAACCTTCTTAGTTATCTTCCACCAATCTTGCGTAATTTTCCCTGTGCCATCTCTTTTTGTTGCAATATTTTTTATCTTGATTTTGTTTTGTATTGTAAATTATTTATCTTTTATAAACAGTTTATTTTAATTTGTTCTATTTATGTTAGTTTAATTAATGCTTTAATTTAGTTTTTATTTCAATTATTTTTCTGTCTAATGTTATCGCTTTCTTAAATCATTATTTTATATAATTTATATACTGTTGGCCTATATATATGTTTTTTAAAATTTTTATTATTTTTATTATTATTAATTTTTTCCTAGTTTAATTTAATTAATTTGCTTATGTTAAAGATCAAGTTTAATTTTTATGTTCTAATTGTATGTACTGAAGGTCCCAATTGATCAGCTCAGGCTGGATGGACCACCCTCACAAAATATCGTTGAAATAAAATAAATAAATAAAAATTGTGTACAGCAGTATTATAGAATATTTACTCATGAAACAATACAACTATTGTAAATCACTTATTGATGATAAAATGAATATTGTAAATGCTGTGTATGTGGTCATTGTTGAATATCAACAAAAATCGCGTTGTGCATATCGAAAGCTGCCTCACACTTTGCATGGTAAACTATGACACTATATAAAGTTTAAAGTTCACTAAACACTGTTCTAGTTAGATGTACAGTTTTTCACTTTTTTTTAAAATTTGCATTGACATTTGATGCATATAATACCAAATTTTATGGGCGATCAAACTTATTGAATAATCACAAAGCATTATTATAAGCTGTCGATTTTATAATATTATGTACTTCAGTATTTGTTTTTTTTCTATTCTTAAGTAAATACAAATTTTTGAAATACAATGAGAATGGTAATAGATTGGAACGTAGCAATGTATAGTGTTGTAATTTTCTATTTCGAATGAATTCATGAAATATGTTAAATAAGATAAATCAGTGACATTAAATGTAATTGAGAGAATGAATGAAATGATTAAATGAATGAAATATAGATGAGTGGGATGAATGAAATAAGTGAAATTCATGAGATGAGTGAATGAATGAATAAATAATTATATTATATTTACTGATCTATGCACTATCTCAAGACACAGAATTTGTTTCAACAATTTACTCTGAAATGGGGCTCAGTTAGAGTGAAATTGTCTGGACACTAAACTTTTTGTAAATATTGTAGAAGGGAGTGCGCTATAACTTACTGGCAGATGGAAAAATATGTTAAATTTTCTTTCCCATCTTCATCAAGAATTTAGGTCTGCATAAAAGATGTATTGTCTGATGAAAAAAAAATATCAAAAATTCATTTTGAAGTAACATAACAATTATCAACATGAATATAGAAATTAGTGTTTAAAATGTTGCCCCATAATTTTACAGTAAAAAAAATAATAGAAATATTTTAATATTTTTATTATTATCCAGTATAAAAAATCAGGGTACACATTTTTAAAATTCAAAAATTTGTATGCACAAGTAATTTGTATGTAACTGCAAAATGAGCAAGTTAAATTTCTAAATTATTTAAAATATATTTTTTTGTCATTTTCCTTACCTAAGCTGGTCGAACGTTTCGTTTGGGTCTGTACCCTAGCTGCACTGATAAGGCCTGGAAGGCCGAAACGGATCCGTCTGCAGATATTGGGATTCTTTCCAGTGGATACTTAGTTTATTTTGTCATTCTGATTTGGATTTTCTCTACTGTTTCGTTTTAATTTTAATTTTAAATTGTTTTGAATTATATGGCCGTTTGCTGTTTTATGGGTTTTTCCCATTTGCCTTTCAAAAATGCATAAAGGTTCACTTGACAAGGCCGCTAAAAACATCAGGGAAACTGCTAACGAACTGGAAAGCAGGGAGTTGACTGAACTGAAAGATCTGATCATTCTGACGAGACGGAAAGCTGGGGAAGAAAGTGGAATACCAATAGTTGCTGCTGAAAACGAAACGAAATAGGCCTCATCAATTTTTCTAATCCGATCCAGTGAATCCTAGGAATATTAATTTGGGGGAGTGGGGGGCCGATGAATGTGAGGATGGCGTTACCTTTGCAAAATAAGGTGATATGACTAACTACTTGAGTGTAATTGTTTTGCATCGAATTTTCAGTGGGGGTACTGCAAGCATTGGGTGGGGGTGGGGGCACTCCGTATGCCACTTGTCGATAGACCTACTCTCTGTTTAATTGAAACTGTTTTTTTGGTGTGGGGATGTTTAATTGTTGTTACGGGAATGGTGTTAGAAACTGTTGTGGTGGATATTTATTTGTTGTTAATGGAGTGGTGTTTGTTAGGTGTGCGGGAAAGGAAGGTATGAATGAATAACGATTTGATAGAGATATTAACAAAACTATCCAGAAAAATATAAGCTTACATAGGCCTAATTCACTGTGGCAGTTTACCTCTAAATTAGCTGGTAGGTGTTTTGGTTAGTGGGAGAATTAAAAAAAGATCTAAAAAGACAAAGCTCGCAAAAATCTTTATGTGTTGGATAGTTGTAAAACATGGCGTATATCGATTAAAAGACCATTCGGTTAATAGACTGTTAATGAAACTTGTTGGTGTGGTGAGTTTCATCGTATAA